TTTTTATTTAAATTTTTGGAAACCCTATAGAGGGGTATTTCCTATAAAGGTGTTTTCCTAAAGGGGTTATATTAACGTTATATGTATAGAAAAGTCTTTTCAAATATTAAACACTGAATTTATATCTAATTTTAATTGAGTGTTAAAAATATAAAACTCAAATATGAATAAATGAATATTTTAAATCAAACAATCATCGGGGATAATATTGTGCAATAATAATTGTTTTTAACTTGTTATTAAATGAATTTGTATCATTAGGGTAAACACTTTGTGTAATTAGTATACATATTTATGTTAATTGATACAGTATTTTAGATTATAAAGCCTTTATAATATAAATATACTAATTTTATTTTATTATTATAAAATAATTATATTCCAACACAGAATATCATTAAAAATTACAGAATATTCTTTATGTGTAAAACAATTTTTTCTTGTGTTATAACAGCACTTATATCAATACAATAACATAAAATATGTGTAGTAAATAATAATAGCAATATAGTAATAAGAATATATTTTACTTATAAAAGTACACATAAGTAGTTATTGTCTCGTTTTGGGCACACTTTTAGACAGTCATTGAATTGAAGTCTCGTATAACATAGCACTTGAAAATTCAGTCAAACCGTTATAACAACAATAATAGTTACCATTATATGCACTGTTAACCCATAAAAATTATTTATTCCTGTAATAATTACTTATTATTTAAGTACAATATTATTCTGCTTTATATATATATTTATATATCAATATTACATACAATCAAGTGCTGAAATTTTCTCATTTAACACAACTGATATATTACTGTATTCTTATTCCTAAACACATAGAGAATATTCTGCAAAAAACAAAATAAACGCACAATTAGTTTAAGAGCATTTTTTATTGAGAGTTTTTAAGGTTTACTGGGCTTTAAATACAGTATACAACTTGTAGTGTACTCGAGATAACTTTCTCTCTCTCTCTCTCTCCCTCTCTCTCTTCATTATATTTCAAAAGCAATACAAGTAATAAGTATTGAATTACTGTTCAGTAAAATACGATTGCTTTCTCTCACTCTCTCTCACTCTCTCTCTCTCTCTCCCAACACACACAGAATATTCTTGTATTTGTCAGTGTTTTAGCCAGAATTCATGGTATGAGCCATACATGCAGTGCTATTGTGTTTTGTTTGATTAGTGTACACTTTAATCTAATACTGGGGCTAAAAACACATTAAACACACACATAGTGTTCATGTGTTCATCATTTATAAAAGCAAACAAAAAAGTAAATTATATTTTGATTGCATATTACGATGAAAAGCCATTTCAAGTGTATGTCTGGTAATGTGTGGGAGTTTTACGAGACAAATGTCAAGTGTCTTATGAAAGGAAAGGCATAACAATTGATTGATTGAATATGTGTTGAAAATATACTGAAATATTTAATGCATTTTAATAAATGCAAACATGTTGCGACAAACTAGCTTATATATCACATATTATTATTACACAATATTATAATGTAATTTCACTGTGATATGCGAACACAAAACAACTAGTTATTAAAGTGTGAATTGAATTGTTTTGTTTTTTGGTTACATTTATTTGATTAATATTTTGTGTATAGTTTTTGTACAAAATTGCTTTAATATTATATATATTTTGTTAAAGTGTATAATATATAAATTGGTAGTTATTATAATAGATGTTTTTATTTTTAATGCTAATGCAATTTCAATGTTTAATATTGAGTATATAAAATACTTGGTAATATTTCTTCTCTCCCTCTCTCTCTCTCTCTCTCTCTCTCTCTCTCTACTATACCAACAAAGATAATGGATTTTATTATTTTTCAGTTGATAATTGCATTAATATATTGCCTTTCCGTTGGTTTCCCAGCGATGTATACAATGTATTGTGAATTTCAATACACAAAATCTCATTTCACTGTTGTTTTAAGTCTAAAATTATTATTTTAATTGGTTTTGTTTTTATACAACTCGTTGTGCTCCTTGAATGCAGGATTAAATTGACTTACAATTAAATACACAACAAAAACTATCACTCAATTAAATCATAAACTAATATAAATAACAAAAGTTTCAAATATATGAAAGTTTTGCAAAAATGAATGGCAAAACATTTTTCAATGCATTCAAAAAGTTATATTAATAAAAGTAGACTTTCAGTCAAAAAGCTATTCATTCATAAATTGAAAATGCATTTTAAATATAAGGGTGAATATTCTTTCATGGTAAAATTGCTCTCTCTCTCTCTCTCTCTCTCTCTCTCTCTCTGAATACATTGATTTTGGCGTTTATTGAAATATTATTATGAAAATATAATAACAATAAAATGCAATTCACAGTAAAATATACACAAGAAAATGCATTCAAAAAGCAAATATCGTTTTGCAATACAATAGAGAAGTTAATAAATGTTTACCCAAAAAATATATGTAAAAATCTCTGGTTTTACGCCAAATATCTTACGTAACAAAACATATATAAATGTATTTTACATTCTCTTAGATAAATAGATATTACGGAAAATTTGAATATTCTGTATATTCTATATATTCTGAACGCTTTTGTTATGAAAATTTTTAGCCACAAAAAATATAATATAACGTTAAGGTAGTATTATGTGTATAAATAGCTATATATAAGATATATTTGGATAAAGCCCTGGAATTTTAAGGGCAAATATATGCCATTCCTCTCATAATTCATGTCAACATTTATTGCAATTATAGTTAAATAAATGTCTATTTAATTAGTTTTCAAGCATAACAATATAGAAAGTAACAATATTGCAAAACTTGTTTCACTATAATATTCTTTGAAGTAATAATTTTTTCATAACAATAAACATCAGAGAGAGAGAGAGAGAGAGAGAGAGAGAGAGAGAGAGACGACACACAGCTATGAGCTATTATTGTATGGTTTTTATCAAAACTTTTGTATTAATATATTTTACCACAAAAATAATACTTATTTTTAGCAAACCTTTTCATACAAACGATACAATATTTTTTCAATATATGAAATATTATTTTATGAAAATATTTGCCGTTTTCTAGTTTTCATTTAAATGATATTAGTTCCCAGAATATGTTTGAATTCTACAGTGTATTCAGATTACAATTAGCAATACAAAATATATATCAATACATACAGTATTAATATTTGTATGAAATATTGATATGAAATACTATATTCATTATCTCAACAAAATCATACAATTTGAGATACATTTTATACTGAAAATACACTGTTCAAAACAAAAGAAAAATAACCATATATTATTTACCTTTAAAATGGTGTCAATAGTGTACCGCAAATATAATAAACCACACGCTGTCAATATTATTAATATACTATGCAATATACATGTATGCTTATATTTTATTTACATATATACATTTATATATACTTTACAAAATAATTTGATTAAATAAAACCACACGAACAGAATATTCTGTCAATTGAATACCGACAACAAAAACTAAACCTAAACCTAAACCATATATTTACCTATATTTGCATAATTGTCGACAACGGCTGTCAAACGGGATGACAAACCAATTCATACCCACAAACACCACACGTATGTCTGTGCAGACTATTGACACGCCATCCGGAGCTGTCAAAACTGTTCAAGAAGTTTATGACACTACGTGACGATGGTAAATACGATTGGGACCTGGATGGTTTGCAACGACACGCCAACCTCGTGATGCAGGGCTTGGAGGCGGCCATCGATAACCTCGATGACAGTCGCGTACTATCGTTAATACTCAACGACTTAGGCCGTAAGCACGCCAGGTATCAGGTCCAGGAGGAGATGTTTGATGTAAGTCGTTTTTTTAAATTAACCCTAACCAAGTCGGATTATTTCATTCACAATGTGTGTGTTGAGTACAGTATGTGTTTTGTGTTATTTATCATGTGCTGTGTGTTTATTTGGTGTAGACTTTTATTGAGTATTTGCCCTTAAAGTGTCTTTTGTTGTTTAGAATATTCTGTGCCTTTCAAGAGTGCATTTCCCTATCTCTTTGCCTATTGAACACTTGAGAGAGAGAATCCTAGTATCTTATATAAAACTATTTGTCACCAAATCATAAATAAATGTATTTTACTTTCAATTTTATCACTAATTTTCTATTTATTCTGTCAATTAGGTTGTATAAAAAGCTCAGCTCTTAATAATCATAATAATTATCATATAGTGTTGGGTATAATGATTGGCATAAGAATTATATGCTATCTTATGATATATGATATTAGAGAGAGAGAGAGAGAGAGAGAGAGAGAGAGAGAGAGAGTATGGCTGAGTGAGGCTAAGTGAGCGATGCCTACCGTATATAATAGGGTCGAAAAAGGGATAATCGATTTGTTTTGTCGCAGGTATTCATTGAAATATTTATAAATAAGTGTTTGCGCTATAGTTTGCCGTTTCTTCCGTCGGTTTGTGTGTTTTATCTCTAGTTTTGCTTTTCATTTATCTCTCAAAATATAAACTCCTTTTCTTTATTTATCTATAAATAAAAAAAACTTTTTTCGTTGTGAATAAAAAAAAGTTTTTTTATTATATAAAGTAATGGACAAAACCCAAAATAATGGCACTGCAAAAGCTCTCTCTCTCTCTCTCTCTCTCTCTCTCTCTGAATACATTGATTTTGGCGTTTATTGAAATATTATTATGAAAATATAATAACAATAAAATGCAATTCACAGTAAAATATACACAAGAAAATGCATTCAAAAAGCAAATATCGTTTTGCAATACAATAGAGAAGTTAATAAATGTTTACCCAAAAAATATATGTAAAAATCTCTGGTTTTACGCCAAATATCTTACGTAACAAAACATATATAAATGTATTTTACATTCTCTTAGATAAATAGATATTACGGAAAATTTGAATATTCTGTATATTCTATATATTCTGAACGCTTTTGTTATGAAAATTTTTAGCCACAAAAAATATAATATAACGTTAAGGTAGTATTATGTGTATAAATAGCTATATATAAGATATATTTGGATAAAGCCCTGGAATTTTAAGGGCAAATATATGCCATTCCTCTCATAATTCATGTCAACATTTATTGCAATTATAGTTAAATAAATGTCTATTTAATTAGTTTTCAAGCATAACAATATAGAAAGTAACAATATTGCAAAACTTGTTTCACTATAATATTCTTTGAAGTAATAATTTTTTCATAACAATAAACATCAGAGAGAGAGAGAGAGAGAGAGAGAGAGAGAGAGAGAGAGAGAGANACTTACTAACACACTAACACTACTAACACACTAACATTACTAACACTACTATCGAATTTTTATTCTACTTATAAAATCAGTTCGATTGATATATACTATAATATATTTGTTCATCAATTACATTGATATTTTGAATAAATATTCTTCCGAATGAAATGGTCACTACTGGAGAATGTCCGGTACATACATAAAATATTTCTTACGACCTTCTCAAGAGCATTATGTTTCCTGAGGTCATAATGGTTTGGGGATGTATGGGCCTATTTACTACTATCTCTGAGCCGAAACCTTGAGCCGAATTGGTTGAGCCACTTTATACACTATACTTATGTTACTAACTCTACGACAGTTTAGATCAATTGGATACTGAAAAGCACAAATAGCAATGAGAGAGAGAGAGAGAGAGAGAGAGAGAGAGAGAGAGAATGCGAAACAATTAATTATATAATATATTAGTTTTTCTACGGAAAAAATCTATCTCTTTTAATATAATTGCTTAGCAATTACTGAAACCCCATATTATAATACATAAAATGATTGTCAATACTCTTGAATGTATTGTCAATGATATCTCATTTGATAGTGTATTCACAAACGGGAAACGCCATTAAATATTAACTCTACTAATAGATACTACACTTGTTATAGTTAATTATAACAGAGTTTGAGTGTATAGTGAGTGCACACACACTATATCACTGGTAAACTCAATTAAATTACAGAACCGGTAGAGAAAAATGCATTAAAAATTAATTTTATTACTAATCTCTCGGCTCTCACAATACACTTAAGAGATTAATGCGATTATTATGTGAAACCTAACCTATAGGTGAAGGGCCGACACATGTGTAGGTTATCTTATCTTTAGATTTGATTGTATTATTGAAAATAAATTGCTTTAAAATTTAAATTCATTACATTTTATGCAAATTTTATGCCAGTATTTTACATTGAGTTAAACTTATTTAACGATTTGTTAGCACTAAAAATAAAGTAAATTATAAAACAATATTCTTGCGTCAAAAGTAAAGTAAAAATCTATAACATTAATAGTAAACCCCATTATAATGTGTTAAACATTATACAGTATAATAACTTATTATTAATAAGTTGTAATAATAATTTGAAATCTATGTAAACATAGATTTTTAATGTTAAACATTATATATTAATTCTGGAAAAAATTATGGTAAAAACACGGAATATTAATACAGTATTATTATACTTTGCACACATGTTATACACGATTATATAGCCATCAGATGTGTCACAGAAATAGTGATGCATTTACTGCTAATTAACATATAATTAATAACGAGATATTAAATACAAAACATAAAAAATTTCAACACATTTATTATATGCAAATCCTTTTTGTCGTGTAATTAAACGAAAATATTTTATTAAAAAATTTATTTATAGAAATATTAATTATTAATTTTAAAACAATAATAGATTTTAATTAGACATTTATTTATAGGTATATGTAGCTATTTTATAATAAACAGGTACATTTAATAATATAATTACTGCCATTACAATACATAATACACCAATTAGGCAACCATGTTAGTTTTAACACTATATGTTCATAGGCTGCATGAATGGTGTACTTAAAAGCAATTTGTCTTGTGTTAAGAAAATTTGACAGAATTTTTCAATTAATTTTCTAATATATTGTTATAGAATATTCTTTACTATATATTGTATTATTGCTCAACAATATAGAGAATTGTCAGTTTATTCTGCAATATAACCTTTTATATTCCTCTCTCTCTCTCTCTCTCTCTCTCACAATACACTTAAGAGATTAATGCGATTATTATGTGAAACCTAACCTATAGGTGAAGGGCCGACACATGTGTAGGTTATCTTATCTTTAGATTTGATTGTATTATTGAAAATCTCTCTCTCTCTCTCTCTCTCTCTCTCTCTCTCTGTTATAATCTATATTCTGTACGGAAAATACTGTTGTATTGAGAATCATATAAATCAGTGTCGGATTTAATATATAAGTTACATATATATTGCATATAACCGTACGATATATCATATAATTCTAGATACAGTATAACGGCTTAACCCACACAACAATATATCACTCAATATATATATATATTAAGACTCAATATAATACTTATAATATGAAAAATAAAATACTAACTCATAGGCTTATGCTTTATATTTTTGTCTCACCCCTACATCCCTGGCCTCTCTCACCCCGACATCTATCTAAACGCACACCTAATCTAACGCAACAAAACTGTGTGCAGAAACTGTGGGAATCATTACGATTTGGTCTGAAACAAGCGTTGGGAGACCACATGACTCGGGACACGTCCGACGCCTGGTTTGCTGTGTTTAAATTCATTTCCCGACAAATCATAACCGGTATTGTATTTTTACCATATAATTTAACATACAGTATAAACAACATTTACCACCGTTAAAATAAACACATTTAATTACCACTGTTTCTCCCACAGGTATGAGACAACAACGATCGGTGACAAATAGCTCATGAGTGACCCCACACACATACACAGCCCCGCCATTATTTGCTACATGGATTAGATTGTATAATCTGTTACATTGTACCTATCAATATGGATTTACAGTATATATAAATAAATAATATATTCTACGTGTATATAAATGCTGTACATAACAGTATATAAAAAACATAATGAATACTTTATATGATATATCACATGCTAAGTCACAATCACAGCAATTTATGTACATGTTTAAATATATTATTAATAAATGTTTTTTATTTTGTAATCATGTATTGATTCTTCTATAGTATGTATTTATTACAGAATATTAAATATAATGTTTGTGATAAACATTAGGTTTATTTGTAGCTTATTTTGCTATCGACTTAATTGTACACAAAAACATGTTAATTATTTAAGTTATACCATAAATGTTTAAATCATGCATAACGATAAAATTTTATCAGTGTCAAAATAATTACCATATATATTACATAATGTACATGTAATAAACAATATTTGCTATCTTTAGTATAAATAATAAATTTTAATATACAAATACATTTATAGATAGTGTCTGACATGTAAAACCTTGTTGAAATAAGTGTGTTTAATCTTTTCTAATAGTGTACACCATTTTTAATTGTTTTAATTTCTTCTCAAGTATTGTAAAAGTGCTTTATTTTTAAAAGTAAATCCCAATTAATTATGTGTATTTATAGACTACTTTCCCTTTTGTTGTTTTTAACTATTTGTTAATTACTTTATTATATCTTTAATTGTACAATTTTAACATGTTAATTGTAATAATGATTTATATATTATATTAGTAGTTATGTTGGATTTCTAGTATATTATATGCTATAAATTTTGTTGTAAAACATAAGATATAAAAAATATTGATTTCATTAATTTTTTCTACAAATCATAACAATTTCAAAATACATAAAAACAGTTATTTTTAATTATAAAACATATGACTATTTTTATGTGCTTTTCGTAAAGAATATTCTGTGCGTTATATTTATAGATCGTATAATGTTTTTCAATGTTATGTTATATTATATATTTAATACTATTTTGGGATTTATTTAGTTATTGTTGTCGTTGTGTTTAACTCACTGTAAGTCATTATTTCGGACCAAACAATACATGAAATAAACTAAAAATAAAATAAAAACAATTCAAAATCAACAAAAAACAGACACCAAAAGTATAATAACCAAACTCTACACAAAACATAAATAGGCATTCATTTAATTGGTTAGCGATGTGTATAACACTATACGACCAAAAACTCTGTGGCAAACATTTATTTATTTGTTTTGACACTTCATTTATAGCCATAGAAAAGTGGCCATAATGTCACAAAATTGAACTATTGTTAGAATTAACATGCTCATTTTACTGGTAATTTCTAATAAATGTCAATTATTTACACTAAATAAAAAATTAAAATAACCGATTCTGTAATATAATACAGTAGAGAATGCGGGCGTCTATAATGAGCGTGTTAAAATTAGCATCATCATGTTTAATCCAGACACGTGTGCCACCCCCGGCAATCAAACGCCCCTACCCCCGACCTATCGCACACAAACCGGCGCCCTAATAGCCAGTGACTACTGTAAACAGTATTTACCTCGTTTTGATGGTAATAGTACACTGGTGATATACTATCCTAATAGAGCTATAGCTCAAAAACCATTAACACAAATGACTGATTCTTAATGTGCCCTAAAATGTGTTGAGAAAACAGACAAAAGTTGTGAAAAACAATGACTTTTTCTCATATAAAAAGTGTAGTCAAACAGTTATATAGCGTAAAAGCAAACGAATAATTATAGCTAGTGTTTTGCAATTGATTTTTATATACATTTACCCGACATGGCTTAAAATAGGTGTCCAGAGAGCGTAGGTATGGGCTGTTTTGGTAAAGTTAATTTGGTTGTAACCTATTTGCCTATCAATGATACATAGTATACCATTATGGTTGATTAGATTTGTTATTGATCAATGTATCATGATAAAATGTAATTAAATCAATACATTACGCCATTAGGCACTGGCAATACGCCCTTGATAATTAGACCTCTATGTATAATGTCTATTATATAATGTCTACATTTTGGCTAATTTATTGGTAGTTTTATTTCTCCATTAAATATTCATTTTATATTCATTTGAGATTCAATTTAAATGTAATTAATTTTCTATCATTTTTTTTATCTAAAGTGTTTTATTCAATGATTTGATTGCAATGTTATTTTTGCATTAAATGTTTGGTATTTACCCTCAGAAATGTATTTAATATATGATATGTTTGAAACACCCGGATCATCCAAAATTGACAATCATTTAAAAATATCAAAATATATAAATAGATTTTTGAAAAATAATTTTCCAATTGTTTTAATTGCAATTCAAACACAAAAAGTCCAATTTTTAATTAATAAGAAAATTTATTATTTACTACATTTACGCCTATTTATTGATACCAAAGTATACATTATATTTTGTCTTTGTGCAATGTAAGTTTTTGAAGGTAATTGATTGTTTGTCCTGGTTTATTTGTCAGGAAAATAATAGTAATAATATTCATAGACAAATGACATATTGTGTGCCATTATGTGTGGCTTTGACAACATATTCACACAAACGATTCATATCATGCATACAGTGAACACTCGTTATAAAACATTTTAAGCCCAGAATTTAATGTTTACACTAATGATATTGTTTACCGTATGCTAGGTTTACATGTATTTCTTTGACCATAAAATAAAATTACTATAAAATTGACATAAACTAGAAATTAACTATCATTTAATATGATGTACACACAAAAAAGTGTTTACTGGTGTTTGAGTTTAATTATACAGAATATTCTGTAAGAATATAATCAAACAATCATTTGATGGGCAAAGAAATAGTTGAGTGAATAATTAGTGAATTTTTTGACATACAATAATCGTTTGGCTTTTATTGTCATATTATATATGATATGAAAATTGTTTCAATTCTGTTAAGAATATTCTGTGAATGAAATATACGCCAAGTTTTCTAATATATAATGTATATCTATATGTAAATCATTAATAGAAATTAGGATTTTTTGTGGTTCTGACATTAAAAGTAATTATATATCGATTTGATGCTCTCTCTCTCTCTCTCTCTCTTTCTTTCTTTCTCTCTAACTGTTTATACAATGATTATGCAGTAATGAAAAGTTTAACGGATTTTATAAATTAATTAAAATAAAATTCTCACAAATAAATAAAACTTTAATAAAAACTACAATTAAAACATATTATGTGACCATTTAATCAACATTTATATTATATTTATACTAGTTATAAACAGAATAAATAATTCACAAGTACCATGTATTCTTATAGCACCTAGTTTTATTGATTGCTTCCCGGTTTATATAAGCAGTTTAGTAAATAAATAAAATTATTTCATCATATCAGGTTATTTTAAATAGTCTAAATATTTTTAATACAAAATTAATATTTATTATAATATTTTTATTTATTATAATAACAATTTTTTAATTTTAACAAATACTGTATTAACATTTTTCAAAAAGATTATTGTTACATTTCAGCATATTATTTAATTGAGATAAAAGTTACATTAATCATTAATGTAATGGTTTGAATAAATACATTGTATACATGTACTGTAACTCTATTATAAATAAATTATATAGCTTAATTTACAAAAATCGTGTCAGGGTAACTAAGATGATATGAAAATTACAAGGACTTTATTCATTTACAACAAAAGATCTAAGGATCTACACATCCAATAAACAATACAATAAAATTAAGTCAAATTATTTAATAAGTGGAGTTAAACAGTGTCTGCAAACATGATTGCGAGTCCGTATCACACAATCTCTGGACAGGTATTCCCAGTGAAATTCCCGGTAGAGTGCGTTCAATACGCGCTGGACTACAAGCCTGTTGCGGGCGATCGCATACTACTGACAAACCCTCGATCGGGCACTTTCTGGACCCAATACGTGGTGATGTGTGTGGCCAGCGGTGGTCGAGTGACTGACATCGATGCGGCCGATATGGAGCGATACTTCCTGGAACAGCACGGCGCCCGAGCGCGCACACCCGCCGGCTGTCTGTCCGCCTCGACTGACATCACTTTCCTATACACACATTGCGCGCGAGTGTTGTCCAGACCGGCGGCTCCGGGAGTCCAGTATCTACTGGTGATCCGTAACCCGAAGGACGTGTGCGTATCCATGTATCGCATGATTTGTGCCTTTAGGGGCCGGGACCTGGATTTCGGCCAATTCGTGGTCGATTGGTGGGCCGGTCGGTACCCATACGGCACCCATTTGGACCGTATTAAGCTCATGTGGCAAAGCCGACACCGGGCCGATTGCACCATGCTGGTTTACGAGCGTATGCTGGCCGATCCGGTCGGTGCTATTACACGGGTGGCCAAGTTTTTGGGCCCCGATTACGAGCGCCGATTGGCTGAGAGGTGTCCGGACGCCGAGTCGACGGCCGACGAGACACTTATGGACCGTCTGTTAAGAGTTTGTTCGTTGGGCGCAATGAAGCCTCAGTTCTCCGACAGCGCGTTCCCACACGTGGTCTCCGGCGGCGCCGGCGGCTGGCGATCGGTGTTTAGTCGCCAACAAAGCGACGATTTTGACCGCCGGGTGCGCGACGAGTGGTCCGGCACTGGACTCGACACCCTATGGGAGCGCGAAATGCGTTGGTTTACCCATTAATTCAGTTTATTAATTATGTTTGCAGTTTTATCGCACCATTAATTGTTATAGTTAAGTAGAATGACCAGTTGTGTAACAAATGTTTTGTTAAAATCATTAATAATTATAACAATTGTGCTATATAAATTGTAACATTGTTCTAATTTTAATATTAGTTAGTGTTTAAAACATAATAAATTATTATTAAACTGAATTTTTAATTTTAACCAATATTAACATTTTTCAAAAAGATTATTGTTACATTTCAACATAATATTTAATCAAGATAAAAGTTACATTAATCATCAATGTAATGATCTAACCAAACATATAATCTGATCCAATGTTATATTTGATTCCTCCGTCGACTTCCAGTTTGTGTCCCGTTATGAATGAGGCGTCAGATGAGGACAGGAATACCACGGCTTTGGCCACTTCTATGGGCTCACCATTACGTCCGAGTGGTGTCATTGCGGGTGATTTAGCCGTCACTTTCTCCACATCGGCGTCAGGCCATAGCGGATAAGACCGAACCACTCCTATGCTGTCATTATCACATAAAAATTAATTAACCATGCTTAACTTATATTATATAACAATGATTAGTTAATATTAGTAACTACTAATTGACATACCTGACACTATTAACCCTAATGCCGTGTGGGGCCAACTCCAGTGCCAGTGTAGTTGTGGCCATTTCGAGGCCCTGTTTTGCCAATTGATATCCCAAAAAGGATTTTGACTGCATTTGGTTTGAAATAACATATTATAAACATTTATATTTTAATTGATATACAGTTTTAATTGATATACAGTTTTAATTGATAAAACTGTATCAATATTTTTAAAACAAATTTTTTACCGGTCTTTCGGTCACAACAGACGTAATGTTAACAATATTTCCTTTGGTTTGCTTAAGATATGGCTGAAAGAGTCGGATGAGAGTAAGCGATGCCTTCAGATCTACTTTCAGTGATTTGTCCAAAATGTCTAAAAAGTTATCATCGGTTCCGTTGGCCTTTAGATAGACGCCGGCGTTATTGACCAACACATCCAGCCGTTTGAATGTCTTAATGGTCTCATTGAACACACGGTGCAGATCATCATCATTGGTCAGATCGGCCGGTATTTCTATAGCCTATTTCAGCGACAGATGATCATGTTTAATATTGTATTGCAAAAACAGGGTAAATATTATCCCAATTAATTACCTTCAGGTTTGTTGGCGACAATTGTTGACACTCTTGTGCCACACGTTTGAGTCCATCGGCGCGCCGACCGGTGATGACAACACCGGCGCCTAAAGCCGAGTATAGTTTGGCGATTTGTTCGCCGATACCGCCGGCACTTCCGGTCACCAAAACTACTTTCCCCGTAAAGTCTCGCGAGTTTCTCACCTCAGAGTAGATGTCTTTTCCCGACATTATTTGCGTTGGTTTTGGTTTTATTTTAATTTTGTTTAAATATTTGCAAATGTTTTTAAATATATAATATAACGCTTTAGAATAGATGATAAAAATATTTGTCTATTTTATAATGTTACTTATTTATAGTGTTCACAGTTATTTGGTTAAACCAATAAAACCAAATAAAACACACCAAATTTAAAAATAATACAATTTGGTTTTATTAATAAAACCAAATAAAACCAAATTTTTTATTGTTAGTAATGTGTATAATGGGACAAATTATCCCCTGTTTTTCCAAATGTTTAAAATTATTTCATAAATTTGTGCATAGTTTAGTTTATTTAATTGTTTTTCGATAATAAAATACCGAAAATAAAAAACATTTTAAATAAAAGTTAATTTATTTGGCAAAGAAGTGGTCGCCGACGAGTATGTCGTACGAGTCTAGTGTCAGTCGCTGTAAGTGTCGACAATTGGCCAACAATGAGGCCGACAACCGGTGCTGAAGATCGCCGGTAGGATCGGTGGTCACCGACTGATAGCCAAACAGATTCAGATAGAGTACCCGTAATCGGCGGAAACGGTTCAACGCTTTAAATATATCCAAATTCGCGGCCAAACTCTTTGTATGCAAAACGAGTTGCAATTTCTTGAGCTCCGGACACCCGGCGGCCAAATCGCACAGCGATTGGACAAACACGAGGTGATCGGCGACCAGATAACAGGTGATGTCCAGCGATCGAAGGGCCGTGAGTTGAGCCAATTGACTGAATAGGTGTCTCATGTGATCCGCCGGTAGCTCTTTGATTGTCAACACTTCCAGCGCCCGAACGGTGCGTGTGTTGGCCGCGCAGAAGTCCCCGATTCGGTGCCAATCGTCGGCCGAATACACGAACGATATCTGCCGTACGTTTGCGTGCAAAACGCCGGTCGACCCGAAAATCGGCGACAAATTGCCGAAGAGTTTAATGTCCAGAGAATTGACTTTTGGTAAACGGTTTAACACGTGTTTGTTTTGGTCGGCTTTCGTATGGAAAGTGATTTGCCGTAAGTTTTGGCCAAATTTTGCCGCAAACTCGGCGACCGTCCGGTGAGACAGTCGGTCAAAGTCAGACTCTATGGCCGATAGGCGGCGATCGCAGCACCGGTTAATCACGTGAAACACTTGCTCAGCGTTTTGGACCCAATCGTTGACACGAATGGATCTAATGTGCGGACACTTCTTCAGAATTGTCTCCAAACGGTTCAACTCCAAGACATAGGGAAAGGACTGACAGTTGAGCACAAAGTCGTCGATACTGAGCGCCCGGCGGCCGTTAAATATCAATCGCCGCCAATGTTTGGACACACATTCGTAGCGGAACCGGTCCTCGAAGGACAGGTAACTGAGTAGCACTTCTGTCAAGTCGTCGCCAAACCTTTCGATCGATGATTTATTACAAGACATTATTATTTCCACTGATATTTGAAATGTGTTTTTCAATGTCTGTGTCTCTGAATGTGATATTGATTTACGATAAATACATTGTAAACATGTTTTGAATAAATTTTTACATTACTTTTCATTCACTTAATCGACTCTTTCGTGTGTATTGTTTACGTAATCGTAATCCTTATCATTGAAAACATGCAAAACCTGGTAATTATCTCAATTGGTATTAACCATAAAGTCATGTGGATATTAATGTTTAACATGTTATATCATATTGTATTTTATAAGCATTTATAAGTTATATAACTGTTACTGATTTACACTTCAAGATATTAATGTTATCTATGATTAAATTCAATAGAGATTAAAATAGTTTTGTTTTTATCAAATAATTAATTACTATTAACAACGAGTTTAAATTAAAACAAAATTAGTAGTTTTATTAAATTAAAATTTACATTAAAAATTATCATACAGAAATATACATGTATTAAATAATTTATAACTAATAAACTAAAACAATAATTAACATACAGGTAATTATAAATTATTATTAAATTAAAATCAAAATTAAATAAATTATTAAGCAATGAATTACAAGCAAACCACACAAAACAGGTGGTAAAAGCATAAATACCCGGTGTGTTTACCACTCATCCAGGAACTCATCGTCATCTTCATCGGTGGTAAACATCCAGTCCTCGAAGGAATCGGTTGAGTCGCCAATACTGTCGGCTACTGAAGAGTCCGAATCCCAGAGTCGGTCCATATGAGGGCTGTTGTACTCAATAATATTCAGGCCGGCGACCGGTCCGCCGGACTCACGGATCAGTTGGATGTGTCGCTCCGACAACTCGATCCACTGGCGATCGCTGCGACAGATGAGCGACCGGAGGCGACGGCAGCGGCGGATCAGCTCCACGACAGCCAACTCTGTGACGTCTTGAGCGCAGTCGACGCTATGAAAGTCTATGGACCGCAGGTCTCGCAAAGTGGCCAATCGGGCGAACACCTGGTCCGACAGTTCGGCGTCCATACACTTCAAGCGCCGAAGACGTGGCATATATTTGCCGATATCGGCGAAAAACCTCTCGGTTTGGCGCAAATACTTGGCCCTAACGCTCAGCGATCGGAGCGCCCGACAGTGGCGTAGCGTTTGCCGCATGGGTTGACGTCCGGCCGCGTCGTCCGTCGCCGACGAGTGAAACAGATATATCTCCAGACACTTGAGCGCCGGAAACGTGTCCATCGCGTCGTAGATCTGTTGATTAGTCGCCGGACTATTGGTGTGCAAAATGAACTTCACTCGCGACAGACGCGGGCACTGGTGGCCAATGGCGCGGATACTGTCGCCGAAGCGCTGGTCAATCTGGGAACAGGTGGTCAGCGCCAGCGTCTGGAGCCGCGAGAGTGTCGCCAACTCGCGGAACAGCGGCACCAGAAACTCGTTGGTCGGGTAGTGGTGTTTGGCGTTGGCCTCCACTCGACGCAGACTGCGCTGATTGGCCCGACACAAGCGGCCGATCCTATCGGTGTCCTCTTCGGCGTAAGCGAACGCGATGTCCGCCAAATTGTTTGGCAAACAGTCGGCCAATAGGAACGCTGGACTCATATCGTAAAACTCTTTGATGTCGAGCACCGGCACTCGTGAGCACCCGATCACCACTGACTCGTTCTCCGCGCGACTGGTCTTGAATTTTATGGACTTTAATGTCGGCGAAAATGTACGCAAAAAACTCTTCATAGTGTCGGCCGACAGACCGTCAAAGTCGGCCTCAATTGCGCTCAGTTGTGGACAGTTGTCGATGAGGGCCAGAAATACGGCCTCTTTGTCGGCGCCGATAGTCCTATTGATGTCAACGGCGGTAATGTTTGGACATTTAGCCAAAATCAGGGCCAGTGTTCGCGAGTCTATCGGCAGACATGGGCTGACGTGCGGCCACTCGTAGCCGATGTACAGCTTTTCGGTCACCGATTGGTTCAGCGATCGCTTCCACTGTCCGGAGACGGACTCGTGTCGAAAACTGTCGACGAAAGTGGTGTAACTCAACAGCAATTGGTTGAGATCGTCGCCGAACCGGTCAAACGAGTCCCGACTGTAGTCACCCGTTGTGGCCATTTGTATGCAATATAAAAAACTTATTAATTAATAAAAATTTTACTTTTAATTTCAATCAAACACTGCTTTTAATATCTCACAAACGGAGTGAAAGTATTGTACAGTTTTTTGTTAGCATTAAATGTGTGACAAAATAAAACTTGATTTTCAAAATTTCACTTTAAATGAGGTGTTAGTGAAAATGTTAGTGAAAAGGCATTTGATTTTTAACATGTGTTGAGCCTTTCATTGGTTATTAATTTATAATGAAGTGATTATATAGTGTACTAGTTTTTTGTACACTAATTGGTTGTGTTTTTCCCAAATGTTCAAAGCCTATGAATTTTAATAAATGATTAGTTTTGCGATACAAATGATGATTAGATTTAGAGTGACCAGGTGTACACTATTGGGCAGCAGTGTACACTATTTTAACTCCTTGTACACTATTTTTAAGCTGTACACTATTGTACACTATTTGTTCATTAAGAAAAATTAACTAAAAAAGTGAAAACTTTTATAAAACATTTTGTTTTGTGTAAAGCATTTCTTGTAATGAACAACAAATCGTGTTTTAAGAATGTAAAAATATAGACAATTAATAATTCGAAATATTATTGATTGCGTAAAGTTTTAAACAGAAAATAGTGTACAAATGTTATCGTACACAGTGTTAATGATATATATTTAATCACATTTTAATATAGAACTGTTAAAATGTGTTAGTTTAATTACAAATATAAAGTAATATAATATCAATATAATGACCACAGCATTCCAATGTGTCAACGTAGTGTAAACTTATAAAAAATAGTGCACATTATTCATACACTATTCTTTATAGTGAGTAATACATAAAAATTACCAAGGTTAAACATTAACCACGTTCAAATAATAAAAGCCCCTTTCTGTTCTGGAATCCGCTGATAATGACATTTAAAATCAAAATCTTGAAAAAATATTGTGTACACTATTTGTACACTATTTTGATCAATATTTTTAGCTTTTGTACACTATTATGATTTTCCAACCTGGTCACACTAATTAGATTTGATTTCTGATAACGTGTAGTGTTTTTCATGTTTTCAATATAACTGTAAAGTTTACACAAAATTTTTAAACTCACAGAATATTCTTTATATAACTATATTTTATATAGAATTGAATGAAAGTTAGATTAAGTTTTGTACTAAATTGACATAAAATTTATTTTTAATGTGTTTTTATAAATATTTATTGCAATAAATAAAATATAATATATTATTGTTTTATTTTATACAAGAGATAAATGTTAAAACACAATTAATTAGTAAAATAATGAAACAATTAATTATTGTCAATAATTAATATCACACAATATGTCTGAAAGTGATAATGGATTTATTGACAGTAAAAACAGCTCATTTGAAATGATTTTCTTAAGTAAGCATTAATAATATTATTAACAAGATAAGTCATTATTTAATTTAACATAATTTATTATAATTATTATTAGATTTAATATTTTCAAACTTCTCATGATTGATTTGTCGCGTTTAAACTGCTGCCAGTTCTGCCCAGTGTGTGTCCAAACTATGTTGGTTTCGGGTGCTTTGCGGCAACCGGTTTAGTAATGTCCACCCGTATTGACACAAACACAACAATTACTAACTTTAATGACTACTGTATTTAACAAACATTGAATAGTATTACATAAATGGCGAATTGCATTAGAGCTTTCAGTATTGTATAACAATTAGCATTGAATATAATTAAATTATAAGTTATGCATATTATAAGCAATTAAATATATATGCTGTATTAATAATAATGTAAAATATATCCATAAGATTAGCATTAGATTAATTGATTCGCATCACATTATTAAGCAAATATTTAATTTGTCTACAGGAAAATCGATGAATTGACAATTTATTCCCATTGCATTAGCATTTCTATTGCAATTAGCGTAATTGTACGACACAATATGTGCCTAGGAGCAATTGTATAAAAGTACCAGTGAAAGGCACCAAAGTTAGTCAAAATAATCTTAAAACAATGGCCAACAATAAAGTGCTAAAAGTATTATTCGTGCCGATCCTCAGCGGAGGTCACGTGTACTCCAGTATCGGTGTCGCAGAGCGACTGATACACAGCGGACACGAAGTGCTGTTTCTGGTCAACGATTTCTGGTCGGGAAAACTGACCAAATATGGCATTCGAGAGGTATTGTTGGCCAAAATTGACTCACCGTTTGAGACCAACGGTGCGACCGATTTGGCCAAACATATGATAGCGAGGGGTTTGGTTGGCGGCGATTCGCCCCTTCAGAAGGCCCAGAGAGAGGCAACATTTGTTGAGTTGTGGACAAAGCATATGAAACAATTTGACCCACAGTTTGAGCGCCTGTTGCCCACCATTCAGCCCGATCTTATTGTATTGGATCAGTTCATGACGTGGCCATCGCTGGAGTTGTCGGCCATACCGTGTGTGTGGCTCTGGGGTAACGGCCCTCTCATTATGGTTGACGACGAGAAGGCACCGCCACATGAGTCAGGTTTGTAAAGTGATACCCAGTGTTGTGCGCGACACAAAATTAATACACAATTAAAATGACAAATCATAGGACTGTCCGCTACGGGAGACCAGAGGTTATGGCAAGAGTTTCGACAAGTGGTTAGAGACGCCACAAAAGACATGTGGCGAGCGTTCAACGACTGGATGGTCGGCCGGGGCTGCGAACCACTGCCCGAATACGCGATTCAAAACCCATCGCATTATCTCAATATATACGGCATTCCCCATGAGTTGGACTATCAGGACATCCGTCCGTTGGGCCATAATTTTGTTCGCTTTGATAATTTTAAGCGCACCGAAAGTGACCTGACTTTCGCTGTGCCGCCAGAGTTGGCTGAAAAGCCGGGAGCGTTGGTCTACTTCTCTCTCGGCTCCTTTGGTGCGGCAGACGTGGCAAATATGCGCCGACTTTTGGCCATTTTGGCCAAATCTCCGCATCGTTTCATCGTATCGATGGGTCCGTTGCATAACGAGTACACTCTGGCCGACAATATGTGGGGCGAGGAATGGGTGCCGCAGATACGAGTGCTGCCACTCGTGGATCTGGTCATAACACACGCCGGCATTAATACTGTCTGCGAAACCATGTTCTTCGGCCGACCGATGATAGCTATGCCTCTGTTTAGCGATCAATACGATAACTCACAGCAAATACAGGACACGGGCTTTGGTCGACGACTGGACGCATACAAGTGCTCAGAGGAGGAGCTGTTGGCCGCGATTGAGACTCTACTCAACGATAGAGAAATGGCTGAACGCGTGGCCAAAGTTTCCCGGAGAATACAAACCGACAATAGTTTAGCAAAATTGCCGCAAATTATTGAGGATTTTGTCCAAAATCGGCGCAAATATATTGAGTAATTGATTATAAAATATTTAACAATAAATACTTTAATTTTGTTTAGTTTTTGTATAAAAACGATTGTTTTATTTAATTAATAAGTTGTTATGTATTTGTTTGTAAAATTGATGTATTTTTTTGCTAACAATTGTCTTCGCGGTCAACAGGTCTCGAATGTAATCAGTGGTTAAAGTAATGATATTTACTCTAAAAATATTTGTACAAAAAGTTTTTAAACTTTGTCTTAACTTTTGTCTCACTTTTAGAGCAATAAATTGTCGACAATTAATGAAAAGTCCCCTAAAGTTGTTGTCAACAAAAGTGAAGGCATTTTCACTCAATGTTTTCACTTATCGTTTGTTTTCATTAAAAGTTGTGAACAAAAAATAATTTATAAATTGTATTAAATTATGGTTAAAATGAAGGCAAAGAAAAAGTCATTTATAATTAGTATAAATGATATTTTGGATGAATTAATGGCTGAAAACAAACGACTTTTACATGAAATCAAGTGTTTATTTGAATTGAAAACACATTTAATTAAAATTCACTCAAAATATGAAACACTT